ATTATGTTAAAAGCCGCTAATTCACACCAAAAGTCTTAGTTAAGACGTTACTTGGGCTTCACGGCATGAGGGCTTGAAATATACACCAAATTATGTGGATTTAAAGAGTATGCTGGCCTAAAAAGGAAAAAAGAGGAAGAAGGGAAGGAAGGCTCTAGAGGAGCCCTTTGGGCTGCAGCTGTAGGGCAGGAGGGGCTTATCGATAAGGGGGCCCGTGCAGGGCCCTGCACGGGCCCAACCGCCTTGCCCCAGCCGCCAGCCCTGACTTTAGTGTTAAACCATGCCTATTCATGCTGGCGCTGTTAAGCCGTAGCGAACAAAGCTATCTTTAGTTTAACACCATTAAGCACTATGTTTAAGTGCCTTCGCCATGTAACTCAGGCCTTTAAATTGCCTGAAATGGACAATATAAAGCTGCCATCTCCCAGACTGTCGCACGGCATACACACAAGATCTGTCTCTGCTTGAAACGCGCAACGATCAAAGCCTTGCTCCTCTGCACAAGACCATTTAAAGATAATCATTCTGCTTGCACAACCCTTCAAGAACAATCATTCAACACAAAGACCAAGACAAGACAACTCAACCCACCACAGGCAATTATCACCTAGAACCCATTAAGCATTTTTACAGCCGAGATTAAAATAAACTGCTAGTAAGATAACCACGCTTTATTATATAAATAAAATGGGCTAATAAAGTTGCTATAAATAGCTATAAAATAAACTTAAATACTTAAGTCTTAAAAAAAGGTAAAAAATTATTTAATATAAAAGGATAATAATAAGGCAATATTAACTTTTAAAGAAATTAATATATTTATAAAGATTTTTAAAAGTTATAAGAATTTTTTTAATTAGATTTAATAATTAATTAATATAAAATTAAAATTAAAAGGTTTAAGTTAAAATGAAAGGAAGTATTTAAAAAAAACTTTTAAAAAGATTAAGAAAATTAATTAAGATTAATAAAATGCTAAGCTTTGCTTTTAAGTAATTAGTAAAATAATTATAATTTAATAAAAATAATTAAAAAATATAATTATAAGTTTTTAATAATTCTTATACTTAAAAGGGGAAGGTATTTAAATATAATGCTTAATAATATTAAATTAAGTTAAAATAGTTTTATTTATAATAACTTAATAATATTAATATAAATAAGTATAGCTTAATATTAAGACTTTTAATATAACTTAATTACTTTTAAAATAATAAATTTATAAAAAGTTAAATAATTATTATTTAAAGCCTTATATAATAAATTTAATTATAATTACTTATAACTTTTATTATTTCCTGTTTTAATAAAATAATAATTATTACTTTAACTTATTAAAAAACTAAAAAATATTAAGAGTTTATATAAAGGGATTAAATGCATATTGCTTAAGAAGCATATATATATAAATTAAAAACGAGACTACTTTTGTAACGGTACGGCTCCATAGGGCACTTATATACTGCTAGGTCTTTCCAATGTTGATTAGAAATTCTGGTCTTTTAGCCAAGCGGTCTATTTGCTAGCAGTAGTAGATTCGTGACAACTTCTTCATGGGCCAGGAGACGGACTAGACGCGAAGGTCTTCATGCCTGAAATTTTCACATTATGGGATCTGGAGGACAAGCTCATGGGCTGTCAAGGTTGTTCGACCGTGTCACAGGAGCGGGACTTGCATGCCGTTATGATCTATATACAGTGTCATCAAGACTGTGTCACTTTTTGAAAGGCCAGCCTAACATGTGTGGAGCTGCAAATTTACTCTCCTGATGCTCTCCTGAGGTGAACTTGGCTGGTTCGTGGACACTTGTGAGTTTATAGGCTAAGCCGTTGGTGGGTCGGATCTCATGGCCTACATCCCGTTCTCATATGTGGAGTCAGTATCTTCCGTACCTTTGTGGTAGTCATCGCTCAGGTATCAAATATGTAAGCACGACCAAGGTGAGGCCTCTCCAAAAGTGTCTCCTGTTCTTTCCCTTCATACTAGGGACGTCGCAGAGGCCCCCGTTTGTGACAGAATAATTGCCAGCCGGGCTGAGAAAAGCTCCATTCTATAGCGATACTAAATCTATGAGATTGCGAGTATGGGGCTGCCTTGATACCCAGGAGGTTGTGGGTGAGTGCCCTACTCACAATAACTAGTCATTATGCAGGAGACAAGTGTATGATTACAAAGATCCAAGTTTATCAGAGCACAGGACAAATTAATTATGATGCTGCAGGAGCTGGTAGTCCTCAGTCTACACACCTCAGTCATGCATGAACCGGCCCTATTTTTGATGCCTTCTGCTGCAATGCATGTCACTTAAAGATCTCGACATGCGGGCACTCAGTTGAGGGGGGCTGAGTGGGCTTGGGACTTTTATGCTTGATTGTCTACAACATTGGCCAGTACCTGAGCAGGGTTGCATTGCCTAGGTATGCAGTCAGCAGCCACCTCACCCACCATTGGTTGCCCACGCGTAGCTGAGGAATTGGCCCCCAATTATACACCTTCTTTACGAGGAGAAAGTGTATGCCCAGAATGCGCGGTTGAAAGTCCCTATAATTGACCGTTTTCCATCGTTGTGCCAGATGGAAGGCCTTTCAGATGTCTGCTGCCAGTTGGAAAGCCCATGGCTCACTCGTTAATCTTCGAAACTCACTCCCACTGGGTTCATATTTCACAATGGCGCAGTTGATTTCGGACACACAACAAAATCGTAACATTAGGGAAGATCTCCCGTCCTACGAATCCATTGAGACACGCTACGATCCGGGCCAACCAGAGGTCGAGGTCGAGGCAGCAGACAGTCTCTACACAGCACCATCGAAGCCGACAACAACCTTGCCAAAATGTCAAGATTACAGGCCCAGAGCGCTGAGATGGTGGTTTCACGGTTTCCTCATTATCTGCCTTGCCACTTTCCTGGGATTGACCGAGTACGCCATCCAAACATTGCTGGCCAATAACCAGGGGGACCTGGTATCTCAGCTCTTGTCCAGGAGTATCAAGGACCATAACGGAGATCATCAATCTGTGCCCGAGCAAAAAGAGTGGTCATACAAAGAGTGGTCATACCCACGATTGGCCAGGGTACCAAGTAACGCAACATCTAGTCAAGCTGGAGCGTACTCAGCAAATACTGGCGACTTTCTCCCCCTTGGCTATTCGACCTCGACCTTATTAGCCTTAACGGACTCAGTATCTTCAAGCTTTACAACCTCGTACCCTGTATCTCAGACAACTGTGCCGACCGGATCGTCCACTACCACTCCCAGTTTCACGGAAACAACACGCGGTGTCAGTAGTACTACCCAATTCACCACAGATGGGTATCTGAATCTGGGTACGACGACGACGACGTCCACCCTGCGCAGTCCGACGCCTGGTGTCGGGACTACAGGAGGGGGCTATGAAATCACGGTACCTTTTTCGCCGTCACCCAGGCCTGAAGCTGGTGGCACATCGATCAGCGACAGCGACAAGTATACGTACATTAGCGGGAGCAGTTTGTCTGAAGGCGGTGTGACGAGGATTACGATGCCTTTGACCAGTGCGTATCTCAACATCGGACCGACTTCGTTGACTGAGGCTCCGGTGCCGACATTACCGCCATCCGCTACAACGGATGGTGGGTACCTGTCTCTTGGTGTGACGACTGCTACCATGGTGGATGTGCCTGACCGTGCGTCTCTTTCAGCGACCATCCCCAAGGTGGCCGGAATCGTCCCCGACAACACCTTGGGAGCCGACCAGAAACCCGTTGTCACCGTCATCCGCCAGACTGAGGCGTGGCCTTCGAGCAAGGCAACACTCGAGCGGACTACGACTGACTCAAGAGGCAATATCTTCGTTCAGACCATCACGACGGACGTTCCAGCCGGGGCGGACGATTTGGAAACAAGTGTGACGGTGCGGCCTGGGGAAAGCTTAGTGGCCGTTCCGAAGATGATTACAACCACACGCGGAGGCCTAACACAAGTAATGCAGACGACGTATGCCGAGTCTGAGGGCCGTACAACTACATCATCGTACACGACGGTCATTGGCGGTGAAAACGCCCTTGCCACACACACCTTTTTCGTCGCCACGTCGCTGCCCCCCCGGTTACACGGTGATTACAGTCCCGACCGCTGTTTCGACGACGGAAGGGGGAACGGTGGAGGTTGTGCAAACAGTGTACACCGATGCTCAGGGGCGCCTGACCACGTCCTTGTATACCAGAACAGTGAACGGAACACCGACATTGAGGACCATGCCCGCTGTGATAGCGACACCAGTATCTCCTGGGGACAAGCTCGTGTCCCTTTCCACTGTGATACCCACGACGATAGGCGGAACGACCAAGGTCATCAAGACAACATCAACAGACAGCCGAGGTCAACCGACGACATTTTCATATACCACTGTCGAGGGTGGAACGCCGACGTCTACGACTGTCTGCACTGTAATCCCAACGTCAACTTCTACAAGCCCTACAAGCTCAAACGGGACGCACGATACAGAGGGCGTCGCCGTCGTCGTTTACGGACTCGGGCTCAGAGACTATATGCTCGGTGCTTTCCTCCCAACAATCCTTGCAGCGGTAATAGCATATCCTTTCAAACTCATCAACGTCAATGCAAGATTGATGCAACCATTCCACGAGTTGGCAACGGCTCGTGAAGCGGGCGGGGTATCTGCGGAGGCGTCTATCTTCTTGCGCTTCTACAGTTGGACAGGTGCGCTCTCCATGCCTCGGTCGGTCACATTAAGGCAACCCGTCATCGTTATATCGGATCTCCTGGTATTTGGTGCGGCACTTCTCGCACCCATCGCAGCCGAAACCGTGTCTGTACACGTTCCAGACGGCTGCGATCTGGGTTGCTATGGCAGCGTGGGCGTGACGACGATTCCTGGCCGTGTTCTGGAGGCTCTGATGGCCACTATGATGGTGCTTTTGGTCGCTCTGATAGTCACCCTCAACGTCTTCCGTTGGGAATCAGGCGTGAGTCACAATCCCTGGGCAATCGCAGGCATGGCGAGTTTAGGCTTGAATCCTGAAATCAGGGATAAGATTCGGAAGATTCCTTGCGACTCAAGTGGGTCTATCAAAGAGAAGATGATCCTCAAGGCACTCGCTGGAAGCAAATATGCCCTCGATGAATACTGGGTATCCTCCAGTCCTGGGACTATCAGCACTCGAGGATATGGAATAGTTGTGAGGACGAGCAATGACGACGAGAAAAAGCTTGTCCAAATCAACAGCCCAGGGAGTGGAAAGACAAGCGGTCCAAATAATCCAAAAGAGAAGAAGACGACTCAGCCATTTGCGTTGCTGACTTGGTGGGGACGCTGTATGCTCCTGTTCATATTTGCGTGCGTCTTGATCATTGCGACGTACTACGAGACCACATCGCTCGACAGCGGATTTGAGCGTTTCATGGACAGCCGTGGGTTCGGTATTCGGTTCTTCTTCACGGCGCTGGGCGTCGTCATTGGTGGCTGCATGGAGACGTTCTTTCGAAGCGTTGCCACTATCTTGCCCTACCAGCAGCTGTCCAAACACGCACTCCCGGCTGAACGGTCTATACTGCTTTCACCTCCGACCAATTCTTTCTACGGGATGTACTCTGCCTTCCGACGACGATCTTTCTTTCTCGGAGCCGTGGCTTTCACCACCATACTCGCGGAGCTGTTCCTCCCCGTCACGCTCTCGCACGTGCCCTTCAGTCACCTCGACACTTATGAAACACAGCTTGTGTGCTCATGGCTCAGCATAAGCATTCTTTCGCTTATGGTTCTCGTCATACTCTATTCCTTTTTCGTGCGGTGGCCACACATGCCTGTTGACCCGAGGACGATCGCGGGGGCTATGTTCTATGTGTGCGACTCATGGATGTTGGGCACAATGGAGGGCATGGCAACACTTGGGAAGAAAGAAAGGGACTCGATCATGCGTGCTCAGAGATTGGGGTACGAGTTCGCTAGCTCCAAAGGAGTCAGCGGCAAGGAGAGGATGAGCGTGGATATTTGCGGAGAGACCGGAGAGGCAGCAGTGATGATGCGAGGTGAGAAGACACGTTAAGGCTAGTGGGAACTGTAAGTCACAAATCCGAATGAGCAATTGACTTGATATTCTTGATGGGCCGGACCAGTCAAGGACGGCGAGCCTCTTCGCCGGGGAAATTTGGTTCACGCAACCGCACCCGGGTGGGATTCTGAGCAAATTAGGACACCACCTCCCAACACTGCCAGTGTATCCGAATATACTGTCCAAGCCAAGTACCCGTCTTAGCTGCGTAAGTTTAAATCTATCAAGGCACGCTACAGCAAGTTTCGGCTGCCGCTTCTAAAAGCTTCTAGTTCCGTCTCGCGTATCTTGCGACGGGAACTCTTGCACATGGTGAGACAATTTGAGTCAAAAACCAAGACAACGGGTATTTGCCCCAACTGGGTCTTCTTTACTTTTTCCCGATGACTATCTGCGTCACCATATACTTGTTCCTCTGATTTGCAGTCTTGGGTTGCCACTAATGTAGAGCGACGTTGCATCGCGTTTTCCAAGCCATCACACTATTGGCGCCCAGCACCTATCGATTGCTTCGAGACGAGCGTGGAGGAAGCTCTTTTTTTCTTCCCCGGCACATCTCCGTTGTTTTCCTGTCCTTCTCTTCATATTGAATACCCTGAAGAGCTACAGGCCGCTCCTTGCTTCGACTTGAAACTTCCAAGATTACCGAGTCATGGAAATGCAGCCGCTGAACACCCGGGCTCCGCCCGCAGACACCAGTGACACACATAAGTCGATGACGGAGATCTCGAACATTGAAGCCAGCCCGAGGAAGTACCAAGATGACGCCTCCACATTGAGAGTATGTCACGGAGTTGACTTCTCTCCTTGTTTCTGGTGGCCAGGAAAAGAAATTGAGAACCCAGGCTAACTGCATCTCAGCGTCTCTTTTCGTCAACACAACTCCTCACGTTCGCGCTCTGTTTTATGTCAAGCTGGGAAGTTGTAGCTCTGAATCTAGGCGCAAGTTTCTATAACGGAGGACCTCAAGCCCTCGCCTGGGGAATGCTGCTCGTCGTCGCTGGAGCTATTGCTCTGGCCGCGTCGATGGCCGAGCTTGCCTCTATCCAGCCCATTGCTGGAGCTCAGTATCACTGGACGAAGTTCCTTGTGGCATCGTCTTCGTCAACGGAAAATGAACGCCAGCGTGCAAGACTGCTTACCTGGATGCAGGGATGGGTTACGTGGTTCGCCTGGGTCTCTTCTCTGGCTGGTTCAACATCCTCCATGGCGAATATTCTCTTTGGTCTCGTCACCGTCAATCATCCGGAATATGTCTACAAGCCATGGCACTTGACTTTGCTCATAATAGCACAGCTGTTCGTGGTTGGAATCATAAATATCTTTGCTTTTCGGTCGGTGCCATGGCTCGAGACTGTCGGCGGTGCTCTCCACGTTATAATATGGATTATCTTTATCGTCGTCTTCGCCCTCCGTGGAGGCAGGAGTGACGCAAGCTTCGTATTCTTCGAGAGAAACTCTACGTCTGGTTGGACAAATGGAGTCGTCTCTTGGAATTTGGGCCTTCTTGTCACATCTTGGGGCTTTGTTGGTTTTGATGGTGTTGTCCACATGAGTGAGGAGGTACGCCAGGCAAAGCATGCGGTGCCGAGGGCAATGATCTGGACTATCATCTTGAATGGCATACAAGCTTATGGCATCATGCTGGTTCTTCTCTTTGCCATGGGTGACAACGCCGCGGAGATCCTCAACTCCCCCTACCCTATAATCCCGCTATGTTTTGGTGCGGTCGGGCAACGAGTCGGCACAGCTATGGTCGTCAGCCTTCTGGTCATTACTTTCTGTGTGGTGACGGGCTCTCTGGCCTCTGTGTCCCGGATTACATGGGCTTGGGCTAGAGATCGTGGCCTGCCAGCGTGGTTCGCAAAGATCCACCCGGTTCACCGAGTCCCTGTCCGCTCAACGTTGCTACCGATCGCCATAGTCAGTTGCCTCGCACTCTTCACAGTGGGAAACACAGCGACATCAACCATCTTCTCTGCATTCACATCCCTAAGTATGCTCGGTCTGTACAGCTCGTACATCATTGCAATCGGCTGTATGGTTCATGCACGACTGCTCGGAAGAATTGGAAAGGGACCAGAGTACCCTGTCCAACTCGGCGACTGGACTTTACCACCTGGAGTTGGCTTGCCCCTCAACATATACGCTCTGGCGTGGTCCATCTATGTTACAATCTGGCTGCCCTTCCCAACGACAATATCTGTTACTGAAGCCAACATGAATTATTCGGGACCAATCTATCTTGCGGTGATCCTGGGGTCTACTGTGTATTGGATTCTGTGGGGCAAGGCAAATTGGCCTGGCTTGAACAGCGAAGCTATTGAAATGGTGGAGGCAAACGATTGAACGCTCTTTATATTGGCCAGTCGTAGCGGAGGACAAGACTTGACTGTCAAGCGAATACTGTGGTACAGAAACATGATTCCATATATGAACGCGTATTAATTTGCACTCGGGCTGCCGGATTTGATTTCTGAAGTCGCATATCAAACCCGAGGCTACGCATTTGCTTATTCAATTCTCTCAAGTCTTGTTTCACTACCGAGTACAGTAGGGTACAACACTTGCTGGATTATAGCAGCTTTCTATATTCACCACTAAACAATCTGCCATACATGGCATCAATTGTAGTATACCCCTAAACTCAAGGTGCTGAACTCGTGGCCTTCTTCGCGGCCCAAGTATCTCGTCGTAACATAGCCAGAGGGTTGGACTTCAAGCCTACTGTTGGTAGGTCTCTCGTATGTATAATAATTATATGGGAAGCAATTATATATTAGTATTGTTTTATTTAAGTTTTAAAAGGCTATATACCCTAAAGGAGATAACTAAAGTAGCCTTTTAAGTATAAGAGTTATACTTATTAATACTTATAGTTTTTCTCTTTTTTTAATAAATATATATAATCCTTATTATAATTAATTTAAAATTATAATTCATTATATATTATATATATATAATCTTTATTATAAGAAAGTATTATTAAAAAGGCTTAAAATTATAACTTATAAGTTTTAAAATAAATCTTAGCAATTCTTATTATTATATTATTCTTTAAACTTATAATCTTTATTATTATATCATTCCTTAAATATTATACTTATTATTTTTAATACTTAGCTTTTAAGATTGCTTTTTTATAAAGATTATTAACTTTTATATAAGGGCTTTAGTTTTAAATTTTTTCTTTATAAGAAAAGTTAATGCTTATAAAGCTAATATTAAACTTTTTAGCTTGCATTTATTTTTATTATATACTTTTATAATATAAATATTATTATTTTTATTTTTACTTTTATTATTAAAATATACTTAATATTGCTTTAAATTAATCTTTTTTAGCTACTTTTTATTCTTTTAAAACTAAGTATTGCAAGCAGCTTAATTATTTATTAAGTTCTTTTCTTACTTTTTATTATTCTTTTTAATTTCCCTAATAATATTTTTTTTTGCTTAAATTGCTTAAGTAATAATATATATTTCTTAATAAGTTTCTTTATATATAAATTTTATATATGCTTATTAATAATTTAATATAAAAAGTTTTAAACTTAAATTAATATAATAATTTAATTCTTTAATAGCTAAATCTTTTTAATTTAATAAATATAAAAGATATTTAAGATTAAAATTCTTATTAAGTTATTTATTATAAAGATTATAATAATTTAGCATTTAAGATAATAATTGCCTTAATAATTCTTATTATTAAAAATATTATATAGTTTTGCATTAAGAGTTTTAATGCTTTTAATATAAATATATAGCTTTTTAATTATATTATTAAAAAATATTTATTTATTTTAATATTAAAAGTTATTAATAATTTAAATAATAGCTATTATAATAACGTTATTTAAGAAAAGTATTTTAGCTTAAGTTATAATTATAGCCTTTAGCTTATTAATTTTAATAATTTCATAAAAGTTAATTTTAATAAACAGCTTATTCTTTTTAATACTTAGTATAAAAGTAAAGTTAAAGGTAATTTTTATAATCTTTATTAAGGTTTTATTAGCTTAGTTTTAATTATCTTTATTATTAATATTAAATAAATAAGAGTTATTATTATTAATATCCTTATTAATATTTATTAAATAAGCAAGTAAATAAAAGTTATTATTATTAATATCCTTATTAATATTTATTAAATAAGCGTTATTAATAATAACCTTGCTATAAAAACTAGCAAGATTAATAAGCTTATCTTTATCCTTATTAGTTAAGGCAATTTTAGCTCTTTTTATAGCCTTAGTAATAATTCTAATCTTTATTTTATTGCTTATTAAGAATATAATTGCAATGTTTGTTTTATTGATTGGGGTTGTAGTTGCGATATTCATAGGGGAATTTTGATTTTATTTAAGGGTTGCGGTAGGGCTACCTTTAATATTAGTTATATTAATAGCAGTTATAGCAATGATTATATTAAGTATATCCTTAGCGTAAGTAGTAAATATAATGTTTGCTAAATAATTTTACTTTTTATTATTATCCTTATAAGGTATATTAATAAAAATATTAAATAATTTTTATAAATTATTATTAATATTTTTTATTATAATAAAAAGGAAAAGATTTTATAGGAATTTAATAATTAAAATAAATATTTATAATATAAAATTTTATAATTATTATATAGTAATTATTAATTTATTTTTTAATTATAAGAAAAGTTAATAAGTTATAAATAAATTTAATAAAAATTAATTTTAATATTATTATTAATAAATAATAATAAAAGATAATAATAATAATAAGGTTAACTTTAAAATAATAATTATTAATAATATTAATAATTATAAGGTTATTTTTATATATAATAAAGTATTAAAAAGGTTTTAATTAAAGTATAAAAGGTTAAAGTTTATATTAAGGGTTTAAGTTTAAAAGATATAAGATTTTATAACTAATAGTAATAAAGTTAAAAGGAAAAGGTATTAATAATAAGTTGCTTTTTCTTTAATAAAAAGGGGTTACTTTAAGTTTTTTAATTAATTTATTTACTTATATATAAAGCTTATTATTATTAATAAGCTTTTATAATATAATATTTAAAGTTAATTTTATTATTATATTAATAAGGTTATCTTTCCTATTTATTTACCTTATCTTAGTAATTTTTTTTATTTTATATAATTTTTATAATAATATAATATTAATTATAAAGTATTTTTCCTTTATTATTTCTAGCTTTATAAGGTATTTATATAAGTTATATAAATTTATATAAATAATTAAAGGTATGTTTAATAATAAAAATTATTTTATAATTATTTTAATTATTATAGCTAAGGAAATTTTAATATTTACTTTATTTATTATATTATAAATTTTACTTATTAATATGCTTTAAGTAATATATTTATACTTTATTAATAATTAATAAAGAATATTGCTTATTATTATAAATTTCTTAATTTTCTTATAAGTTTTATTTATAAAAATAATAATATATTTAAGTTAAAATATTAAGTCTTAGTTATTTATAAATAATTTATTTATAAATATAAAAAGTTTTATTATTTTAAGATTTAAGGGTATATATTTAATTTCTTATATAGCATTATTTATTTATTATAATAATTATATATTTAAGCTTTTATAATTTCTTACCTTTAAGCTTTATATTTATATAATTATTAAAAGATTATATAAAGCTTTTAATTAATAAATTAAAGCTATATATGCTTTATAAGCTCTTTATTTAAGGTATTTTTAAAAAGCATCTTTAATTATTATATTAATAAGAATAAGTTTATTAATTTATCCTTTTTATTAAGTAATAATTAAGCTAATGATATTTATAATTATGCAAGCCTTATTATAATTTATTAAGTTTTTAAGTATTAGCTTTTATTTTAATTTTCTTTATAATTTTACAGCTTTTATCTTAATCTTTTTTATATTTTAAAATTTTAATATAAATAAAATTAATATATTATTTATTTATATACTTATTATTTTAAAGAGTTATATAGGTTTTATAATTATTAAATAAGGATTATATATAAAGTAGTTTATTTTAAGCTTTTATTAATAATATCTTTAATATATATTAAATTAATAAATGCTGGATTTTATTATATTATATAGGGGTTAAATAATATAAATAATTATACTTAAAAAGTATTTATTTTTTAATTTTTTTAATAATTTTATAAGAATTGTTTTATATAGTTTTAACTTTACTTAAAAATAGGCTTAAATAATATCTTAAAATATAAGAATTATACCTTTTTCTTAAATTAATAAGAAAGTAAATGCAAGGATTATTTATTAATTTATTTTTTAAATAATTAAGCTTTATATTAAAATTAATTCCTTTTTATTATTATTATAACCTTAAATAATAAATTAGGATTTTTTATATAATTTTATAATTTTACCTTTTACCTTTTATATTATATAAAACTTAAAAAGATAATATTTATTATATTGCTTTGCTAATTATTTCTTAGTTTAAAAAATACCTTTAGTAATAAAATTATTAATTTTTATTTTATTAAACTTTTTAAATAATAAGCTTAATATTATAATAATTTTATTTTATCTTAATTTAATTGCTAAATTATAATTTTTATTTTCTTTTTTTAAGATATATAATATAATAATATAGTTTTTTATTTTTAATAATGATAGTTATATAATAGGTTATATTTAAGGTTTTATAGCTAGGTTTTTTGCTTATAAGGGTTGCATTTTCTTATTATTAGTTTAGTAATATAATTAAATAATTATTAACTTAAATATTATGGCTTTATTTAGTATATTTAAGGTTATATTATGGCTATTTATAATAATAACCTTATATAAATCCTTTTATCCTTTTTTTTTCTTTTTATATATAAACTTTATATTATAGTAAGTATTTTATGCTAAAAATAAATTTAATCTTAATATTTAATGCATTTTATACTTATTATTTAGCTATGGTTTTTTATAATATTTTTATAGCCTTTAAAATAACCTTTACTTGCTTTTATATTAATAATAATAATAATGATTTATATAATACTTATAAGTAAGCGTTAAAAACTAAGAATATAAAGATTAGCTTATTTAATTTAATAATATTATTAATAGCTTTTATAATTATTTATAAGATAATATTATTATTTATGCTATTATATAATTTAGTATATAGAATTTTATATGCTTATTTAAGGGCTTAATGATATTTCTTAACTTTCTTAATAAATTAATATACTTTTATAAGGATTTATTTATATTTAATTCCCATTATTTATGCCTTTAAATAAAATTTTAAAAATGTAAAGTTTATTTTTGCATTATATTTAATAATATTTAATAATTCTTAATATATATTAATTTAAAGTATTTAT